TATATATATATATTTATATGCATGAATCATTGGCAATTTCAAAGGATGTTAAATGGGAAAAAAACAAGAAAAACAATTTGCAAAAAAATCACAGATTATATTGCTAACTGTAGTTCTGCATTCCACCAGTAGGAGGTGACATGTTCACATGAAGCTTCATGAACTGTGGGGATCGTTAAAGTAATTTGGCCAAATGGTGCAGTGCCTCATGATGCTTCATCTCACCATCACTAAGAGGCAGAGACGAGTTTGCAGATTTAATGGAAGAATCCCACAGCAAACTGAGGCAAAGTCCAAAAAAAAAAAAAAAAATAAATACTGAAAACCAAAAATCTAGTAAACCTCTGGGAAAAACACACATGGGGAGCAAAGAGACGACTAAGCAACAAAACAGCAAGAAACCAGCATTGAGGAACTGCAGAGGTGGTTAATGTATGGGGAACAGAACAAAGAACGGGCTAATGAGCTGATATGGAGCAGGTGTGAATAGAACTAACTAGAAGGAAGCCAACAGGAAAGGAAACAGGCACAAGGGGATCAACAGAGTGACTGAAGAAATACAAAACTGCATATAAAATAACACAAACTTAAATGGAAACCAATAAACAAGAAAACAGAATAACACAAATCAAAGTGGAAATGAAAACTTTAAAAAATAGTACCAAGGAGAGAACCATAACAGTACGCTCAAGTAACAGAATAAAGACAATAAATACATGCCACTTAAACTACTTCAGCTTCGAAAATCCAGAACCAAGAAACTGATGTTGCAAAAAAAAAAAAAAAAAACTTGCTCTCCTGTTCCACATATGTACATACCTTGGATTATTATTCATGGAATTTATGGCGGCATAAATTACACCTGGGGAAAGAGTCACTCCAAAGTATGCTCTACTTCAGGCCAAAGAATGTGCCCCTTTGGAGAAAATTCTGCCTTGCTTGAAGAGAACAGTTTTTAGTTTGTTTTCTATGAGAAAAAATTTAAAATGTAATTTTTCACATGTACAGAATTGATCATAACCCCACTGATGTCTGGTTGACCTAATAAAACTGCTAAGGTGGTAATAGGCCTCTGTATCAGTTAGATGTTGCTTTTTGTCACTAAATTCACATATGTATTTGTTTAGGAAACAGATTGAAGACTGGAATGTCAGTCAGAGGGAAAGGGGCCCTTCGGTGTCATGTGTCCCACACTTGTTTGTTTTTGCATGTATTCCCACTTCATTTGACAGCATCACACTTTTTCAAAGAGCCTTACATATTGTCAACCGCCAGTTATTTAAAGCATATTGGTTGAGGAAATTTAACGGGAGACTCGCTGTCATCAAACCTGTCTATTTAAGACAACTCAGAAAGATGATACTTCTCTTAATGCAGAGATTAGAGAAAAGTTTTAATTTTGAAATACCTTTACATATAACGCACATTTAGATGAAAACTCCTTAACAAATGCCTAAAATGAAGAGTGTTTATAGTCGTAGGGAAGTCATATTTAAATGTCAAATCATTCTAGCCTAAACATGTATATAAATGTACTCTTTATCAGACTATATTGCCCCAAAATTTATGTTATGCAGGCCAGTTAGTTATATGTCAGCTTGTACACACAAATTCGGCCAAGCTGGTACACACTAATTCAGGAGAATTCGGAAATGTGACGGTTGGAACACCCGTTTCCCTAAGACTTTAAAAAAGATAATTTAGGCATCTTAACCTCTTGAACTTCTCTAATATACAGTACAGTGACTGAGAAGTAAAACCTTGCTTTTTTTATCAGCGCAAATAAAATACTTGTCTAAACAAAAACAGAACAAGAAAGTTTACTATAAGTTCTTTTGAGAGTCTATGGTGGTAAGGCAAGCAAAATTACATTATCACTGAGATTTTTTGTTGGCTTTCTTTGTAGCACTTGAGTGTAAACAGAGAAAGCAGTTTTCAAATTATGATTTTTATTTTGGCTATCTGGACGAACCTGTGTGACTAAATAACTTAAGTTCATGGACATTTGGGAAATGGATAGGAGAATGATACAAAGCACACCATCATGTTCACTCTTAGATGCCACAACAGAAAAATTAGCTTCAAAAACCCAATCTTGGTGAAAACCCTAAAATATCCTTTTGTTTAGCAAAAAGAAGTGGTCCAAATTCCCTCCAAAGTGATATAAAACATCAATTACTAAGCCAAATAGCAAATGCTTCTGTCACTATGGCTGGCACAACCAGGTTTAAATGTTTAGGGGTCAGCTAACCTTTTACATGGAGTTGTGTTACTTTGAATGGCTTTTCCCTCATGGTAAAGAGTCCCCTTTAACGAAAAAAACAAAACAATTCTGTATTCCCTCCGAATTAGCCTAAATATAAAATAAAAATGTTCGAAAACCGAAATATTAATATTCACGGAACATCAACAGGTAAATACTGTAAGGCCTTAGATTGCTTTACAGCTCTGTGGAAACATATTGAGTAACCTTTGTTTTCAGTTTTCTGAGTTGTGTTAATTACTTATGCAATGCATCGTGTATCTGTCAAAGGTCCAACCATCCTTGAAAAGTATTTCTACAGTGTGATTTAAATTTCTCAAAAATTTTGAGAAGATATTTTCTCATAAAAAGCTATTCAGTATAAGACAAGCAATTGTTTTTCTTTATATGTGCCATTGTAAAATGGAAATATTTAATATAATATAATAATATTATCTTATGTGATTTTTTTTAGGTGTGTCTGGAAGTATTTAGTGTGTAGCAATGTCTAATTATCTTTTAACTATGAACATTATCTGTTTATTCTGGATTTGAGGTGATGTTTTAATTTATCCAAGAAGCTTTATTCTTGATAGTTGGAGGCCTGAAGGCAAGTATGTCTTTAGTGCTCTTGTTTATTTTCTGAGGAGGGACCCAATAAAGCTTGCATGAGTTCTGAATTGTTTTATAGCGTGCTGTGGCTGTGTACTCTCAGCACGTGCATCTGCTTCTTGATCAAAGGCTTTAATAGATTTGGTCTGTTTGTATTTCTTCTTGTTTCCTTCTTGGTCTTATTTTCCACTTTACTTTCTTTCTCTGTCTCTTTAATGTGAAATTAAGAGCACAACGATGCAAACTTCATACCAGCTGTATTTTGATCGGCGTATTTTTCATATCTTTGATCAAGAGAAGCTGTCATTTTGCATCATTTTGTGAAAAAGTATAAGTGTTTACTACATCTGCAGTGAGGACTCTTAAAAAGATGCGGCTTTTAATAGAATGCTCTTTAATGTTAGGAAGTTTGAAGAACTAGTTTACAGTAAGATCATGGCTGTTGTAACCGTTTATGGAAGGGAGGAAGATTTACGAAACAAAAACATGTGGTGTTATCGTTAGAATTGTAAATATCTTCAGTCCAGCACATCAGCTTTACGGGAACAGACAGCTAACCAGCATATCCTGTTTACAGCTGAATATAATAATCACACAAGAATCTATTAACAGAGTGTAGGCGGTTAGGAACTCAAACCAGACTCATGGGGGAACTTTTTTTTTAAAACTTTGTAACATTTATTTCAGTGTGAAACAAGGGTGTTTCCCTGGAGTTAGGTTCAGCGTTACGGTCAGAAGCCATGGAGGCGTGTCAGCTTAATTATAAACCTGCTTTAAAGTTTAATTTAAATGCAACCAACAGCTGATGTCATGATTTAATCTAAGCTGCAACATGTTTAGCCATCCAAAAAAAAACAAATAACAAAACCAATGAAGCTACTTCGACACAATATTAACGTTGGATAATTTACACACAGATTATTGAGGTACAACACTCAAAAATACTGTAGTAAGTTTCTTTATTATTAATTTCAACTTTGCATATTTTCATTATACTAGTTTGCACAAGAAGTCATGTCAAGCTACTTAACTATACCAAAGTGGTGATATAAATATTGGTGGGATGGGATTTAACATTGTTTAATAAGTTATTTACAGGCACTTTAATTAAAATTAACTGCATTTTAATCGAAAACCATATAATCAACAAAATATCAATCACTTTATAGTGCAAGGACTATATAGTGGACTTTATAGTGAACACAGTTAACTGACCGTTTGGACAAATGATCACTACTTTTTGCTTCCCGCACAGTGCCTGCAGCATATTTGTTCTTTTTCGCCGCCACATAAAAATCTCATGAAGTTCTGCAAGGAGAGCTCTTGCAAACCATTCTGAGTTATATCTGCTCATCTAGTGACCATGGATGATCCCTACTTTTCCAGGTGCAAGGTGGGAGATTTTGAATCATCTACTTTTTCATCCACTTGATGTTCGGAGACTCATGTAAAATAGCGTGACCACTATATAGTGCCCTACATAGTTATTGGAGCAGATGTTTGGACACTGCCATGGTTTTTATTCTTGTCCTCAGGGGACTAACACCTGTGATGCCGCTTTTACATCAGATTTACGATTTTACAAAAAAACAACTAGTACAAAGGTTCGCGCTTGGGATTAAGTATTTATATTAGAAAATGTCATGATGGGATTATAGTAAGATGTCTGACCCATATGCAGAAACACACGGAGGTTTGGAGAAAGTTCAGAAGGTTTATTGACAAAGTGTAAATAAAATGTGAACAGGAACTGGGGTGGTCAGACTGGTCACGGCTGGATCTCCACTGCTAGAGGTGGAACTGATCAGCAGGTGGGGGGAACCCTGTGAGTCCAGAGGCTTATCGGCAGGCAGTGGGCTAAGGACTGAGGGCTAGGCTGAGACGGAGACAGAATGCAGGCAGACAGGTTGCTGGCTGAGAGAAGGGATTCAGATCTGCAGAGGGGGAACCTTGAGAGTCCAGAGGCTTTTCGGCAGGCTGAGGGCTGAAGCAGAGACTGAGGCTGAGTGCAGGCAGGCAGGTTTCTGGCCGGGTGAAGGGATTCAGATCTGCAGGGGGAAAACCTTGTGAGTCCAGAAGCTTTTCGACAGGCACAGGACTGAGGTCTGAGGCTGAGACTGAGACTGAGTGCTGGCAGGCAGAATCCAGGCATGGACAGAGGCAGAGACTCAGACTTAGTGCAGGCAGGCAGATTCCAAGCCATGGTTTCTCTCTCCAGAGTCTTTCTGGTTTTCAGGCGGGTCAGGATCTGAGAGACAGGGAGAAACTGGGTCAGACAGGTTTCACAAAAGACAGGGTCTTAGATCATGCAGGCTGGCACAGATTCTGCTAACCATTACTGGCAAACACTCTGGCGCTGGAGTGTCAGTCTCCTCCTCCTTAAATAGGAGTCCTCTTGATGAGCAGATGGAAGACAGGTGTTGCAGGTGAGCACAAGCCCTCAGGAGGGGATCCTTGGCGCCCTCTGGTGGGCAAGCCTCCGGATCCCAACAGAAAATGCAGTTAATTACATTAAGTTTTTTTAATGTAATTAAGTTTTAAGTTGCATTAAAACATTTTTAATTAATTAATTGCACTTTAAACGCATTAAAGTCCTGACCCAAAAATATACCGACGTAATATCGAATTCATTTTAAATCAATCCATTCCAATCGTACGGTTTTAGATCCAACTGGTTACATATCAACCAGATAAAATTTGAATTAGAATATAGTTGATCAGCAACCCTCTCAAGAAGGCATGTGTTGAAAGTGGAAATGAAAAATCTCTATTTAAAGAAAATAAGTCCAGCAGAACCAGGCTCAGTATGAGGAGTTATATCCTACAAACAACTGATTGTTGAATACAGAAACAGCATAGATAGAACAGAAACAAAAACTCTGGGTAAGAAAACCTTAGAGCTGCGCTCAAGAAGAACTGTAAGGTATACTGCCTACTCAATTAAAAAATAACAAAAAAAATGTGAACATAGTTAATGACAGCAATATATATTTTAATTTGTTCTCCCTAGGATGCAGTAACATTCTAAATACAGAATCATTGAGACATGATTACTTCCAATGAAAGGAAAAACTAGCAAAGTACATGAAATTCATTATAGCAATAGCTTAATCAGGCAGCTAAACACAGATTGACTAGGTAAGGGATACAATCTGAACAAATATCAAATGCTCATTGCAGTAATAGCTCTGTCAGAGACTCTGTAGAGGAAGTAGACAGAGCTGAAGAGAGGAACATTGGGTCAAGTTTATCTTCTTTTCAGAAAGGAGACAGCCAAACATAAGAAGCACTGCAACTTCCATGTAAAGGTCTTTTTAAGTTTAAAAATGTACATTTATTATCAAATAAACAGGCATATGAACCCTAAAACAGTCTGGAAAACATCTGTAAACAAACTTATTTCCCTAAGAGTAATGATGGGTAGCACCACAGACATGTTCTGCTTTGCATACTAAATGGACATTTGTCAGCGATCAGCAACATGTGTTTCATATTAGCTTGTGGAAAAATGTTGTTTGCATGGGAGCAAAAGCAGCATTTGCTCAAAAACAAGGAAGTCAAGGTTTATGGAATACTTGTCATGCTTCCCTTTGTTATTCACTTGATGCCACATATACACAGCTCCTCAGAAAGACTCGCACTTGATGACTCACTCGTGAAATTATGCCTCGCACATGATAACTCCCAGACAGTTGTGTTGAAGAAAAGTTTGCCAACATTTGTATCAAAAACATAACAAACGAGGGAGGGGGCGGGGCAGAAGAACCAGATGTTGATTCCACAAGCTGGCAGTGTCTGCTCTTTCACAAACACAAATTGTTCCTAAAAGTAGCAGAGAAGAAAACAAATTTGTTTTTATCATGAGAGGGTGGAAAAGCTTCTTGGGTTCTGTCTGTGCTCACTGTATCTCAGCTTTAGACTTTTTATAAGGGGACACTGAATATACCACAGTTTCCAAGGTCTATAAATATTGTCATCCATTACCCAGAAGAGGAATGAAAGAAAGCGAGTCGTCCTCTTTAATGCTCCGTAAAATGTATGAATCATCAGTCCTGTGGGAGGCAGACCTGCATGTTTTTGTCCTTATAAGTTATGATCAAAAACAAGGCTGACGTTATGGTAGAATCTTGGAGGATATTTGTTGGTAATCGGGGATTTGTATGTGTTAGAGACACTATCACGAAGATCTGCATACTGAATTCAGATGTTTGTGGAGAAAGGATTTGAATAAAAAAAATTGGGAGATAAGAAAGATTCCTAACAAAGGTTTTCTTTTGGTTAAATATAGAATATAATTCAACTTTTGTTACTTTTAGAAAAAAGTAACAAAATCAACTTTGCATTTAACCCATCCCCTTGGGGGGCAGTGGGCTGCCATTGCGTGTTGCCTGGGGAGCAGTGTGTGGGCTAAGGGTCTTGCTCAGGGACCCAGAGTGAAAGTGGGGCTTAAACTCAGAAACTCTGGAACTCAAACACAATGCTCTAACCGTTAGGCCACCACCCACCCAATATACCTTCTAATCTAACTTGTCAAATTCAGTTAGGTAGAAAATGCTGCCTTATGCTTCATTGTTTTATGGTTTAAATCAATAAGTCAATTAACTTACACTTAGACAGATTTTATTTGTCATTTTGTTTACACAAGTGTAAAACAAAAAGAAATTTAGTTTGGAACAGCCCTCTGGATAATTTCATCTTTTTTTTAAAGTGCTGCCTAGAAAAATAGTAAAAAATTACTGTAAATTTACAGTAATGTAGGTGTTGCCTCTTACAATTCATATAATATTCAACCCTTTTCATGTACAACCGTTCACTGTCCACTTGGAAAACTCTTCCATCCATCCATCCATCCATCCATCCATCCATCCATCCATCCATCCATCCATCCATCCATCCATCCATCCATCCATTTTCAGACACGCTCAATCCCAAGTAGGGTTGCGAGGGGTGCTGTTGCCTATCTCCAGCTGTCAATGGACGAGAGGCGGGGTAAACACTGGACAGGTCGCCAGTCCATCGTAGGGAAAACTCGTCCAAAAACACATTCCTTGGCTTTTGACACTGACACTTTTTGTTTTTCCTCCTGTTTTTATTGTTTTATTGATTATGTTAGTCTTTAAATGTTTTTATTTTATATGCTCAGCACTTTGAGAAGCTGTGGTTGTTTTAAAGTGCTTGATAAAAAGACAAAGTATTATTGGCAGTTGTAAACTAAATAATGCATTACAATTTTCTAGGGTCAAAATAATTTACAATATATGAGATACGATTTATCAAATCAGGATAAACTTTTCAATTTCTCTTTAAAGAATTAAGTTATACATAATCAAAACCATTTTTTACTCTCTAAGGTCTTCTAACTACAGATAAAAGAGAAACAAAGAGGTAGAAAAAAAAAATTTCATCAGTCATACTTAAAGGTGTAGTGGAGGATGTTCTTTTTCCGGCTGGATCATCAAAATAAGTGGTCCTCCAATTGTCAATCATTCTGGTGATACGTTTAGGCTGTCCTACATGATCGTACCCATTTTCACTGACGTAGAAAAATTGCAAATCTTCTTTTGGAAAGTAAGCTTGGACGAGTGATGCGAAAAGCAACTTTTAAACAGTGTTCATGTGGAGAAATGGCCTTGTGCATGCTCTCGCATTTGTTTAATAGACCTTCCATCTTGGGAGCAGGTACAGATAGGGGTGGCCAGTCAAAAACCAATGTAAACTGAGGGGTGGCGAAAGCGGATAGGCGCCAGAACCTAAGGGTCCATCTACACTGTTCCAACATTAACGAGCACAACAAATATGGATATTTTCTAAATAAAGACAAACTATACGTTCCTAATATGTTCCTTTTGATTACAAATAGATGCATATATTTAAACATCCATGCTGTCTAAATAAAAGGTATAGTTGACAAAATGTCTGGGGCAAACATCTTTTCCATTTTATTTATCTATAATTTAACTGAAAACTCCTTCATGACTTGCAGAGACACACAATTTTCTCTTTACCCCATATAACACAAAATTAGGGTCTTAAAAGCGCATGAATTCTGTACATATCAATGTTAGTATTTAGATGGGCATAATTAACCACAGCGTTTTACTGGTCAAGTAACTATTAATATATGAAAAATTTAAATGTTTAATAAGTTTAAACAATATTACTACTGTCCCCCTCTGTAGTAGAGGGAAATAAATGGTAGGGGTGGCCACAGGGGTGGCCAATGATTGGCTAAGGGTGGCCATGGCCACCCCTGGCCCCCCTTCTAGCTCCACCCCTGCTGTTATGGTTATTTAAATGTCTCTTTAATTATATATTTCAAGATCCTTATAGAAATGCAGTTAAATTTGGTAAAATGTCAGATTTGTTAAGCCCAATTCTGTTGTTTTTCGTTATCTCTTTAGTTTTTTACACATTTTCATTGATTTCCTTTTTTATCATCATGTTTAATATGAAGTGCTACAGTAGCTTTAAGTCTGAATGTTGAATTTTGAATGTTAAATCTTCTTTTTCAGAGGTTGAGAAAGATCTGGCCAAGCTGGCAGAAGTTGGAAAGATGACTACTCGGAGTGCCAATAGTCCCCACGGGAGCCTACTCCACACCCCACGACGCCACCGTACACTCCCGGACACTCTTCCTCTCACTAGCCTCATCTCCAGGCCCCAGTCAACAACCAGCGGCCTCTCAGGCAAACCTAGTGGTATTGGCCTCCCCTTGCTGAGTCCCAAGCCCACCTCCCTATCCATGTCCATGGGCCGGACCCCCAGCAACCCTGGTAGCAGGACTCAAACCCCCAGAACACCCAGTAGGCCCCTGACACCAAACAGCTTACTAAGTCGCTCCTCCTTTAACCCCGGAGCTCATAAAGAAGTAACATTCCGGAGGTCGAGAAGCCGACCTGTGACACCAACGTGTCAACCGCCACTTCCTCGACCACTTCTCACCCCTCCAGGACTTAGTACCACAGACAGCCTTGGTGCCAGCCTTCGGGCATATCTGTCTGAGGTAAGACACAAAAACAGAACGAATTTTGTTATTTTAGAGCGCAATAATCAATATCTACACAACATTTGCTAATTACTTACAAGAAAAACAACAGCATTTTGTCACGTGGTGTGCTTTTGTATTTAGCCACCTATAGAAGCACATTTTCAACACTTACAACTAAAACTCTTTTTGGGGGATGTCAAATTTTTGCAGATCAATGGAAACAGCTAAATTTAGGCCAAACATTTTGACAATTCATGAATAGGAAATTCATTTAAAAAAAATTTCTTGAAATTGAAAAACTAAAATTGAAAAACATAACCATGTGTTCAAAAGAAAAATAGGCATCCCAATTTTCTAGTTTAGATAGAAATTTTGATTGGTTCTGGAATGGTTTTAAAGTATTAGAACTGTTTTCACTTTTCCATATTTTGATATTTGAGGAATTGTTTTTCTCAGATCCATAACTATTCTTTTTAGAATATAAGCTTATTTTTCAATAACTCATTTTTTTCTTCAGATCAGTTTTTTTCACTCTCAGATTGCCTTTTTCTAGTTTGAAATTGTTGGCCTGGATTTTTCAAAAGTCTTAGTACAATGTAATAAAAAGCTGTTTTGGACAATAAGTGGCACCAATTTCACAATATGGCAATAAACTCCGCCAGGTTTTGCACTTCAGCAGCTACACTTTAAGAATGCATATTTCCGACTGGCAAAAAAAAAAACAGGTTTTTTGCCTTTAATATTAACTATCTTTGTGAACTTCTGTTTGTCAAACTGTTGACCATAACTCCAGAGTGGCTGTAGCCACAAAGAGCCTTATCAACCTTAAATTTAAAATAACAACTGAAGTTAAATTGTTAAGAATATTGTGTTTACATGGTTATTTTAACTAAAGGTCCTATATTATGTTTTTTTTTTATGCCATCCAAAGTCAACTTTAGGCATACATATGAGGAAATATTGAAGAAATATTTATTTATCATTAAACATCACTTATTTTTAGTAAAGAAAGGTGCTTGCTTCCCTATGTTAGTTACTGAAAACGTTGGTTTAGACCACATAAAGCTGCTTGTATGTGCTTGAATAACTTTCATTTTTATGAAACACATACACACATGGTTCCCCTTATTTAATGGAAAAAACCTCACAATTGTCACAGACATAAATTGAATCTGAAAAAAATAATAATTGATAAATATTCTATAAAAATGAACAAAGGAAAGTCAAATATTGCTTTTCAACCATGCTCCAACAGATTTAAGTAATCCTGTAAATGTCAAAGAGACTTCTGCTCCTCTCAGCAGGTATTTTGGTCGTTATCCTGATGTAACACCCCAGACTGAGACCAAGAATTCTCACACTGGAAAGCACATTTTTCTTGATAGTCTTGAGATGTTAGTCTACCCCGTAGAGGTTCAAGACACCCTGTGTCAGATGAAGCAAAGCAGCCCCAGAGCATAACAGACCCTCCTCCATATTTCACAGTAGGGACAGTGTTCTTTTCTTGATATGCTTAATTTTTCCATCTTTGGAAATAGATCTTATGTGCCTTGGAGAAAGTAAAATCTTTGTCTTATCTGATCATAGGACATTTCCCAAAAGCTTTATGGCTTGTCTACATGTATTATGGCTTATTCCAATCTGGCTTTTTTAAGATTAGTTTTTTAACAATGGTGTTCTCCATGGTCATCTCCAGTTAAGTCCACTTTAGCTCAATTGTGATCTAACACTAATTTTCCTTGAGCTTCAACTTTAATCCCTAGAAACTTTTCTGGGCTCTTGTGTTAATATTAATATTATCCGTCTTGACTGTCTTGATTTATCATGATTTTTCCTCCTACAACCACATCCAGGGTGGTTGGCTACAGACCCATGGATCTTAGATTTCTGAATATTATGAGCAACTGTAGTCACAGGAACATTAAGCTCCTTGCAAATTGTGTTTTAGTCTTCATCTTTTACATTTATTTTTCTCTGGAGACAACTCTTGTCTTCGCTTCCTCTGGTACATGTTGAGTGTGGTACCCAGGATGTCAACAAACAGCACAGTGAATATCTGTAGCCTTGTAGATAGCCCCCCTGATTAATTACAATATTTTATGCAAGTGTGATGCTAATTATTGGGTGCATCTTAATTTACCATTTATCTTTAGTTGCATTATTTTGAGTGTTTTCAAGGTGTTCTTAACATCGTGTTCTAGTATGGTTAAAAAGTAGTCTTATTTGTTGGCGTTCATTGAATTTTTATTCCATGAATAAGAATTTCAGGTTCAAGTTGTTATTTTGACCATTGTGGATTTTTCTTTCATTTAACGAGGAGTACCAATAATTTTTTTCCATGTGTGCACATTGTTGTGTCAACAAGCAGATTAAAATTAATATGCACTCAACATAAAGTAAGGTAATACAGAAGTGTTTTGTGAGACTTAGACAACCTTCACTGTCATTTTGTATACACAGTGTAAACAAAACAAAATTTTGTTTTGGACATCTCTCATGACATTTCTATTTTCTTAAAGTGCAGCAACAACCAAATGTAAACATTGTGGGATAAAAAATAAAAAAAAATTGATGCAAAAAATGCATTGATATGGTCAGTTTGACTTAGAGTCTGTGACATGATTTGGAGTTTTTTCAACATTCACCTGCCTGATGAAGCTGTTGCGGAATCTGCTGAACCTGCATTGAATGCTGCCAAGCCTCTTTTCAGAGTGAAGCAGTGAGAACAGTCCATGGTGGGGGTGTGAGAGGCCATTGATGATGTTACTCGCTTGGGACAAGCAGCGCTGGGATGAAATGTCTTTTTGGAAGGAAGAGGAGCCCCAGTGATCTTCTCTGCAGTTCCCACTACTCTCCTCACCTTCATCAAGTCTGAGGCGCTGCAGCCCCCAGGTGGACTCTCTTCATCCTCTGCAGGAAGTACATGCGCCTTTTGACCAGTGAGGTGGTGTTTACAGTCCAGGTGAGGGTGTCTGTGATGTGGACCCCCAGGAATTTGGACCACTTCTACTGCTCAGCTGTTGATGAGCAGTGGAGCGTGGTTAGGCCGATTTTTGAAGTCAACAATGATCTCCTTCCTTTTTGTCCACATCCAGGATCAGGCTGTTATCTCTGCACCACCCCACCAGCTGCATCATCTCCTCTCTTTAGTCCTGGTCGTTGTCGTCTCTGATAAGGCCCACCACCGTGGTGTCATCTGAGAACTTCACAATGTGATTTGTGGTGAAACTAGCACAACTTTATGTTAGCGTTTATCTTGATACCACAAAGTCCAATTAACTTAGCAGTGTTGCCTGTCCATCAGCTACTTTCATGGAGAATATTGTGTCGTGTTTAAGGAGTAAACTTTTCATGAATCCACTTTGGTACTGGCCACAGCTCTTAAAGGTAACAAAGGAACACATTCTTATGTGTGTGTTTAGAGCCTCCATATATAAAGTGTAACAATTTCTACAGAATGCTTTCCTTCGTAGGTAGCTGGAAAGTTGTTTTTGGAATATAACATCCTCTGGGTATGTTTCCTAACTTTGCCAGGTCATCCAAAGTTTTACAAGTAGATGGGGTGATTATGTACCTCACGATGACTCACCATGCGGCATGAGATCAGATTCCTTTTGGAGAAGTGGGTGGAAGTGCTATGTTGATGAAAGAATTGTTGTGGTTTGCTCAATCAGGACAGAATGACTGAAAGCAACATGTATATGAAGTTTTTGATACCAAAAAAACGTTACCAAAAGAAAGGTTAAAGCCTAAAAAATATTCATTTTGCATAATGTGGCGTCTTTGATTTTTTTCAGTTAAGGTAATGAATGGATAATATATTAACTAGGTAAATTATTTTGAAATTATATTTAAACAATACAATTTACAGTAAAGTCTTGTCATCTTGCAGTCTACAGATGATAAATTCCTATTTCTGCATTTCGACTGGGTCTGATGATGCAGTCGGGATAAGAGTTTCAACAGTCCAGCAGTCTGATGGTAGTGGGTAAAAAAGCTATAGAACCTGCATCGAATGCTGCAAAGCCTTTTCCCAGAGGGCAGCAGAGGGAACGGTCCATGGTGAGGGGTTATTGATAATGTTACAGACTCGGAACATGCAGCACTGTCCCGAGATATCAGACTATAGAAAAGTTAAAAAATAATACAAATAATTCCATAATGAAATCTGTATATTTATTTAAACTAAACAAAAATAAAATAAATACATTACAAGTTAGAGACAAAAAGTAAGTTTTAATATTTCAAAGTTTTAGGAATTCTGTTATGATTAAACGTTTGGCCTCAATTTCACTCCATATATTTTGACTCATAATTTTACATGGACCTAATTTCATCATATATACCAGTTTTGGAAATAGCCTTGTTGAAAAAATGCCATCTGCCACCAATATCTGGTTTGGAGCCTTTAAAGGGGAATATAGAATTATTCTATAGGGTATTTGGTGCTGGTCCTTAAGGTCTCTGAATAGGGTGTGTAACAATGGTTGGGCAGAAAAGATATATTTGCTGTTCTATGAGCCCTAATGCAAGCCTGGTTGAAAGCTTATGAATATTGGTTGGTTGATTGGTTGGTTTACGAGTGAAGCTGCTGAGCAAAGATGCATCATAGCAACAAGCATTCGCTCACTGAAACATTGAAATTGTTGATATGGTAGGGTGACCTCTTTGTCTCGGACAGGTCCTACTTTTCATATCTGAAAAAATGTCCGGGGAAATTTGAAAATCATCCGGCATCTTGGTCGACTACAGTGCAGCACATAGTCAAAACACACCGGGCACTCGAACCAAGCCATCAGCACCGGGGCCAGTCCGGGAACGCCGGCGAAGCCTGGACACCGGCGGCATACGGTCACCGGGTCGGGTTCGGTCACTCTGTCCCTGGCTGGCTTCCTGCCTCGTCCGCCAAGGGTCAGCCCCAGAGCTGACTGCTCGGTTTGAGTGCCCGGTCCGGTCCAGTAAGCGGCGCAGCAGCTGCTTGAAGTTTAGCAAATCCTGCTTTGAACTGTCCAAGA